TCTTAGAACTGATATAATAACCAATTCCTCCCTTGAAATTTGAAATTTTACCCCTAGAAGTGAAGTGGTGATGGACTCAAAATGGCCGCTGCGAATAATCCAGAGACAAGCTTGTAGATATTTCACCGATAAGTAATAAATGTTCTTATAGCTGAATATGGGAGTAACAACTGTGTTAATATTTTCTGTTTAGGTCTACGAAGTAGTTACAGGAGAGTCTGTCAGTTATGTGACACGCTTAGGTGATCATGTATCTTTTGATACGTGACAGTCGAGGCAGTTTTTTACCCGCAGTAGGTTGTCATTTCTTTCCGCGGTAGACAAGTTGCCATCCAAGTCTATAGAACCCGGTTCGTCTTGCTATTTACCCATAGGTGTGGGGAGAAGACGAGGGTTCATACCTTTCCAAGGGGTATTAGCACAAGTGAATGTAGGGGATTTAACTGGAATTCGAACTCGGCTCTCCGATTCCTCAATCCGAGCCGCTATATATATATATATATATATATATATATATATATATATATAGTGTAACCCGGATATAAGAGAGTTGTCGGGACCGGAGAAGAAGTCTCTTATATCCGGGTTTCTCTTATATCAGGGTTTGGTCTATTTTATATCCATTAACACAGGCTCTAATTTGGGACCAGAGAAATCTCTCTTATATCCGGGTTTATCTTATATCCCGGTCTCTTATATCCGGCTACACTATATATATATATATATATATATATATATATTAAAGTCCATCGTAATATCACGGTCGAATATCGTGGCATAACAGTGATAAGAATTTCATGTGAAGATATTTAATAGATGTGTGATATGCTTTCGCAGCCGTCGTAGTTAAAGCGAAAGACGGGATTATGAATTAAGCGATCCAGCATCGAGGCGAGTTGGAAGCATATTTTTTTGTTCACATCGTGCAGTTTGCTGTAGTTTCTAAGGGTGTATGGATGTAGTTTTATTATGAAAATGCAGCAATAAGATGATGAAAAGGAAATAACAAAAAAAAAACATCACAGAAAAGGCTTCATAGAAAAAGGCAACACTAAGACTGCGTAAAACTATTAAAAGAAATATAATCATAATTTCTGAGATGAAAAGTATATATTTATTTATGCGTAGACTATTTTTCTCATCTTTATTGTTAGTATCCAATTTCGGCCGATGTGTTCTCCTGTCTTTTACAGATAACCTTCAGAGAATTTCAAACTACCTTCATTTAAATCTACGGGGGTACATTATTCTCGTTCCCTTGTCCATGTCATTTTTTTTTATCTTTTCGTCCTGTTTAGTCATAGATCCCGCTGATTCTGGTGAGTCTATATCTGTACTACCCGGCCCAGCGATTGAACCCACAATTACTATGGCACCAAATTTACGAACCAACGTTTTTAAAATCCACTAAGCTATTATCACGAATCCACGAGCAGCTGTAGAAGGCAGCAAAGCACAACTTGATAATAACATAGATGCGGAAAATAGTCTTAATGCAAATAATCATAGCAAAATTCGTCACCTTTTTAGATTGTGTAAAACGAGTAATATGGGAGCCCATTAAAGATAATTTTTCTTTGTTTCCACGGAAATATAACTCATACAGTGAGCGCATATTTCAATTACGACTGAATAGTGAGTTCAAACTTCATTGGTTGTCCCATATTTTCGACTTTGCGTCAAATCACTATATAGGTCGAACAGCGACAATAATGGATAACATTTTCCACACTGTCCTCGCCGTTGACTGGTGATATTTTTTCTTACTGTCACTCATCCACTACAAAACTCAAAAGCTTACATCGGTGTGGAAGGGGTTGCAAGGTGAAAAATTATTCGTCACCAAACGCCAGCTTGACACTTTTGAACTCTGGAATGTGATGCCGAAATATGACATTTTTGATCGGATATGGGATTGTAACGGCAGATCATGTCATGAAGAGGCATACGCTTTCTGGTAGGTACCTCCACGAATTGGGTATACGCAAGGTTTAAAATGAATTTAAAAAAAAAAATTCCTGAAGCCTTCAATTTAGATTTAAATGAAAGCTAAAGGATTAAATTTACTATACCCGGTAAGCAAAATATTTTGGTGAATTCCAGACAGAAATTATATTGATTGGAACAGACTTGATTTTTTTTCAGTAAAATCGGTAACGTCAGCCATTTTTTAGACGTTTGTAAACAAAACTTAATTTCCCGTTTTAAAATTTTGCAAAAATAAAATATGTATTTCTGAAGAAAATCAGTAAATTTTAAGTTAATCTGACTTGAAACAAGTACTACTTACGTATAACATAAAATGTTGTATACAAGAATTTCTTAAGCACGGGGCGATTTATTGACGGTGGATTGACCGCTGAACGTGTTCATAGTTCAGTATAGTGCCACAGACGATAATTTTCATGGGGACAACCCTTAAAACATGTAACCGTTTAAGAATAGATTTATCGTTTTGTACATCCATACTTCAGAAATTCTGCATCTATATTCATATACAACCAATTCGAAATTCTTTTAAAAAATATCGGGGTCTTCAGACTGTAATGAACTTTACCAAACAATTATCTCATCGAAATTGAACTTTAAAAGATTCAAAAACTTTACAAATTATTCAATTTTAAATTGTAAAAAGTTGTGAAAAATATAAATAAATCTTGTAAAAATTCATTATTCCTCGAAAATTTTTTCTTCAGACGATAATGTCTTTAATATATATCGTTCATAAAAGCAATGAAAAGCTTCTCTAATTAAATAATGTCTTAGTTTTATTGCGTTTTTTTTTCGATTCAGAACAGATTTTCAGTAAGACGGGGTCCGATTTTGCAAATCGAAACAAAAACAAAACCAAACAATCGGTGATTTCAATTCATCAAAAAATTCTGCTTTTAACTAATATAGTCACTAAAAATTATCTCGTTTGATTTCTCAAGCTTTCATAAAATTAAGCAATAGGGAGAAACACATGTAAAATAAAAAAAATATTTTTACTAAGGTTTTCTAATAAAAAAAATTCAAAAGTAATTTCATTCATTTGTGAATAAGTTATGAAAATTTCATTAAAATCCGACTATTATTTGATTTTTGCAAGAATTTCCAAATTAATATGTCTGTCACCGCAAAAAAAAAAAAAAAAAGGCGAAGATTTGCAATGCAAAAAGTTAGTACAATCGCTGACGCAAGAAAAACAATTTTTTAATCAAAATTTCGAATATTGTAAAGAAGGAACAAAATAATTTAATTAAATAATGAAAAAAATAATTTGATATTTCCTCTAAATTATAACGATTTTGATGATAAAACTTTGTTTTCATTACGTTTGGGCCATATTTTTATTACGGTATATTGACTTTTTAGCGATCTCGTACGTAATTTCTCGAGCAGTACAATGAGCCGAGCATTTTTCCAGCATCTTTAGCTATGGATCGTATATATGAGTTTCTCTTGATGTCTAGAAAGATCTTGAGTCCCAAAAGACATTCAAAGCGTGAAGCCATATTGCAAGTACGTCCGTTCATCCGGATAGGAGAAAAGTGAAAGATCGCTTGAAACATTGTCTGTAGCCGACATAACTGTCACAATTGCTGAAATACATTTTTAAGTACTTAAACTGGTCATGATATGGGAAATCATGGCTCTCCACGACTTCCTAACACTCTGTATTACTGGTTTCCATATTGTATTCATTTCTATGCTTGGCCGGCTTAAGATATTTTTGCAGCCGAGCATGTGTGATGATTCCTTAAGTTTTCATATTTTCCAATGATATTCTGTCTGTTATTTCAACCTCATCACGCAGGTGTAGTTATCTTTTTTTGTCCTCCATATGTGGTCAGCTAGGCCTGATTTTTCTATTTTCCCTCGTGTTACGGCTTTACGATTTTCTTACCTGTCTGTTTCTTCCTTGTATTTCTCACAACGAAAGACGCATAGCACGTGGAATTAGAACAATCTACCCCGGTGAAAGAAATAAAGCGTTCAGTTCGAAATTCCAAGCAGCTGAAGAAGGGCAGAGTGTACAACGGCCGAAACGTCGTAAATATGGCAGTAAAAATGCGGAGAACAGTAAATAATGTCAATAATGACGAATGTCAAGTTTGAAACTGTGCATACGTCATTGATACCTGCGCACGAAAGAAAATTGGGGCGGGGGGAGGAAGCATTTGTAGGGCACACTTATCGGGCAGTCCGCTGTCCCGTTCGCTGTTATCATCTCCCAGTTGCATCTTTTTGTCTTTGGACAAAGCGCAACTGAGAAAATATTGATAGGTTTCTGGTCCCGGGGAACAGCTGTCTGAGGCAATACACCCTCATTGGCTAAATAGGAGGATCAGTACTCATAACCACGCCAGCGCAATCGACGGTTTCGGGATCAGGCCGATTTTGGGTGTACGGGTTCGGGTGTACCACATAGAACCGACTTAGTGTTACATATTGTTACTGTATTGAGACAACCAAAGTTATCAATTATATAAAGACAGTAATAAACTTGGTATTTATAAATAAAAACAAGTGCAGATAAATCATTGATAAGTCAGGGATTGATTTGACAGTGCATTTAGATTATGAACAGAACCCCCATTTTTAAAATGATAATATTCTTCGAATCTGGCAAATGTGAGTAAAAGAGGGTCAAGGGAATGCCAATCTACCAATAATTTTATTAAGTGAAAGAATATACAGTACTTGATTAAAAAAAAATCTACGCTTCCAAACAGTTTCTCAATTAGCTAGTTGCTTTTATTTAGCGGTATAAATAATATATAATTATATATAACAAAATATATACATTTCTGCATTAAATAACACTATGTGTTATTTAATGCAGAAATGTATATATTTTGTACGTAATTTCATTTCTTTTTTAGATAACAATGAATTTAATGATACAAGACTAACTAATTAACCCATAGCTTGGGGGAGAAGTGGTAGAGTCATACCATGGAAATATAACGAACCCAACTGGCATTGAATTCCGTGACAATATCCGAACACCCGAGCTTCCCAGTATTCATAAGAGGTCACCCATCTAGGTACTGACCTGGTTCGACGTCGCTTAACTTCGGTGATGGTACGGGAACCGGCAGTTTCTCAAGAACTCATATTAAAAGAATTAAAAACGTAAAGCGGGTAACATAGCAGAAATAAATTTGTGGATGACAAAAATATTTTCTTGTCTAAAGTTAAGACCCCCCAAAAAAAAAAAACAATAGACGAGAAAACGAGAAAATGGCTTCAGTTTCTTTAGATATTCACAGAAATAAAACAAACAAACAGTGTAATAAAATATTTTCGTCGAGTGAGAAAAAACATTTTGCGTTCAGATGTTATCAAATATCTGTGGAAGCCGTTTGGTATCAGGTAGTGTAAAATCTCGATCGGAAGTAACTTGAAGTTTGAAATGACACACAAAAAAAAAAAAAATCCTAGCAAACATTCTATATAAATACGAACACAGTTTGTTTTTTAAGTGTTTGGATCTTCGAATACTTTTGTCAATGTTGTTTTTTGCCATGTTATTTGCAGATCTTTTTGTCTGCAGTTATTTTTTCGTTTCCTTTTGCTACACAAGAGATGTTAAACGACTTCAATAATAAAAAAGAAGATATCCTCAAGAAATCAAATCAAAATATATGATTTTATTGATTCACTACAGAGAAAAAAATGGATAAAATAAAGCGATAGAAATTGCAGTAAAACCACAATGACTCGTTTCTTTAACCCTTTGACTGTCCTGCGCGTCGTATGTGATGCATCTGATTTCTACGGCCACGTATCATATGAGGGGCACACTACTCATGATTTTAAGAGAGTCGTAAAACTAAGGACGCTTAAGAAAAGAATCTACTTTTGAGTAGGACGTCTGAGAAAACGCCTAATCTAATATTTTGGGTATCAAAAGACCACAGAACGCTTGACTGATAATGTACGCACTCAATTGAAAGCCATCTATTTTTCCATATCTGTCTTTGTTTTTGAGATGAGGTATTGTAATGGCCAGTGAATAAAAGCATTGTTCGGATACAGTGGCTTGATCCAAAGAACTGGCGAACAAAAGGAGTTGAATTAAACGTAGATAGGTGAGACACCCAAAAGAGACATGGCACGTGGAACTAGAACATTCCACTCTGGTTGACCAAATAAAGGGATGGGTCCGAAATTCTAATCACATGAAGAAGGCCGGAGCGTACAACGGCCGAAGCGGGGAGGAGTATAAAAAAAGATGAGGGCAGGCCGAAGAATGCAAATAGTGTAAATATCTGTTTTTCCACTTTATTAAAATGATTGCATCACATCTGATGCACAGAGTGCAGCGTAAATACCTTATGGAGTTTACGTTCTATGCATCTGTGAGCCAAAGGTTTTCATTATGTGAAACACTAAATATCAAATAAGCTGAGTTGCCTTGAAATAGTTACAAATCTGAAAACAATCTGTACTTGTTTTTATTTCTAAACGAGCAGCGTGGCCCGGCGTTGCCCGTGCTTGATTCAAAAATCGTACGACTCATACAGCAATCGCTATCACTTGACTTAAAATATTGTTGCCCTTCCTTGCTTTTAAAGGAGTGCCCTTTGCCGTGCTGATGTTGCTACATGCCTTACTTCTTGCCTATCTCACACTGCAAAATTTTTCTAAGCTCTATACTAAACATTAAATCTGTTACAAAAAAGAACGAAACAAAATGAACACACAACGATCAGCTTTAAAAAAGGACTCATCACTGGAAAAACCGAATGAAAAAAGAATGTTAACAACAAATACTTTTTCACACCCAACCCAGTTCTGCGGAATCAGAATCAACGTTGAGTTTAAGCAAGCGAATGAGCCAATTGGAGTAAAGTGCCATGCAGATTTAAATTTTTCCCACTTGTGACGAATGCAGCTATCGATTTTTTTTGCATACTAGCATGCTAGTTAACATTCATGTCAGTCACCTGTTGGCTCTCACGCTGGCCAATAGAATCTTCCTGCCTATTCGTGGCAGCGAGCGATAGGCTCTCACTTTGGCCAGTAGAAAATGGCCTCTACATGAAAACTGTCGTAGAAGCATGAAAACATCGATTATTTCCACTATAGACGGGAGTTGGGAAATGCAATGTCGGTCTTGGCCTTACCGCTAACTTGGAGCATGTGCATGTAAATTTTGGTGCAAATCCGTCAAAAATTGTGGCCGTGCATTCGTTACACACACACACACACACACACACACACACACACACACACACACACACACACACACACACACACACACACACACACACACAAACACATCCTGCATTTTACAGATAGAGATATCAAATTTGAGTCTTTCTTTATGCAATTGATAACTTTAGTTCTCTCCTTACGGTAACAATAGGCGAGACAAGGTCGATCTCATGTGGGGTACCAGAATGTGTATGCTCGAGCCAGGGCCAAAAATTGGCCAGAACCCGCAAACATCGGTTGAGCTGTCGTCGTTATGACTACCGATCCCCAAACTTTAGTGCAATGAGGGGGTACTTCTCCAAACTGCTGTTCCCCAGGACCGGAAACCTATTAATATTTTCTCAGGTGCGCTCTGTCCGAAGACAAAGACGCAACTGGGAGATGATAACAGCGAGCAGGACAGCGGATTTTCCGATAACTGCGTACTACACATGCTCTCTTTTTTCCCAGTTCTCTGTAATACGTATCAATGACGCACAGTTTCAAACTTGACATTCGTAATTATTTACCTTAGTGGACGAAATAAAATATTCAGGTAAAAATTCCAATCTCCTGAAGAAGGCCGGAGCGTATAATGGCTGAAATGTCGTGAATACGGTAATAAAGATGACGACAACAGTCCGAACAATGTTAATTTTTCCAATTTATTGAAATATGAAACAGTATATATCAACATATTCTATTTGCCAAATACGCTGAGGTGCCTTGCAATCGTTATATATCTGAAAAAAGCACGATCGTTTGCATAGTACACACAAAATTGCCCTTGTCAGGTAAAGCCGTAAGATAAGTAATGCCATATCTCTTCAAAACCTAAGCGATCGTGGCTCTCCGCATTTTTCTTTTCTTGATTATCCGTGGACTAACGTGATTTCTTGGGAAATATAGAGGAGTGGTTTTACGTTACCTCCACGGTTTTAAATTCAGATATGCCCTATCTCACTTGATACAGATAGCAGTCTGGTAACATGGCGTCTGACATGAAAGTTCCTACTAAACTAAAGATGTGTCACTGGCTTCCTTCAAAATCATCCATTGAGATCTAGCAACTTTAGTGGAGACAAAGCAAATATAAAAGCGTAGTAACACAAGAGCATTGTCTACCCTGCTATACACATCCCCAAGCTGAAGAGGATGAGAAGATATGTAACACTTTCATCCAAGATCTGGTTCTGCTAAATACCTTGATCTGATAGAAGAAATACATTAAGTCGTTTATGTCCGGTGAAGACACAAACAATAAATCAAAATAACAAAGTTAAAACCTCATTAAGAGTACCACAATATTTTGATATTTTCCTATACTATGCCCTGCGCATATACAAGTAAAGATGTGAGGAGATGAGCACTGATTATTTAAATATTTCATACCATATCCAAAACAAATCTAATAATCGAAAACAGTATTTCCCTGTAGAGTTCAGTGGACTTATGATGAGAGGAAGAGGGTTGATGTAGTGATGGCATAGGTTTTTTACAACGGGGATAAGAATGACCTTGAATAAAAATCAAAATAGATTACCCTGTGCATAAATGAGTAGAATTCAAATTCTTATTATAAGACATGTCCATTTTAACTGGGACAGCATCAAGATGGCTTCTATACTTTGCCCAAATACATTTAGTGAAACAACACCCATGTATACCGGGTGTAACAGCAAAATTGTCCAATTGTTAGATTAAGCTTTGAATCGTTGTATCTTAGAAATGATTAAAGATATCTTACTGGAATTCTCCGAGGTTTTTATAAAACGATTGGATTCTACTTTGAATAATAAGCTGTAAGTTGAAATGATGATCCCTCTTGCTGTTTTGACCTGCTGATGCAGCTTTCCTCTCTACTGTCCCTTCTTGTTTAAACTTATTCACTGTTCTCTTGATGGTTCTTGAATGGACTTTGAAGATAGAAATCAAAGTATTAATGTTAGTACCATTACTGAAGGTCTGAATGATCTTTTTCCTCTCACCATTGCTCAGTTCGGAAGACAGTGGGTCTGGCCCAAAAGATTTCAGCCTGTTCTCTTTCAAGTTAATAACTCAAAGGATTTTTCAGTGATTCTTACGATAAATGTTATCACGATGCCTAAACATTATCAGAAAACTTGGAAAAAAAACGCAATTAGTTTAGAGTTTTTTTTTTAAATATTAAACATTTTGTGTGATGGACAATTATACTGTAACACTATTTGGAAAACTTTGCTGTTATACCCGGTACAGTCGGGTTTCGATCCTTCCTAGAGGCAAACGGACGTCTAGCCACACTGATGATCTGTGATACAGCGAAACATTTTGCCTGTGGATGACAATATATATGCTCCTGAAAAATCGTTTCGGTTGAGTTCTCGGTGGAGAAAATGTGAGTTTGTAAACAGTGACTGCTACTAGTACTAATGCAATACTCTTCTATAAAACGAATCAACTTCTCTCAGTCACTAGCGTATTTATCTAAAAATAAATACGCTTAAAACCAGCTTCATCCCTGCCGTGCACCAACGGCTTAGGAATAGATTCTCCGCCTGACGCCAATTCAGCCGGGTTTCGATCCTAGCTAGAAGCAACGAACGTCTAGCGACACTGATGAGCTGTGATACAACGTAACAGTCTGTTTGTGGATGGATAATAATATATATATATATATATATATATATATATAGAGAGAGAGAGAGAGAGAGATAGGAATGCATATCAAATAAATTTTATTAAATTCAATCGAAATCATTATCCATTACTGAAACGAATATTAAAATTCATAGGGATGATTTTTTGAATACCCCTCCATTTCAAAGCAATGTTTGCATATGAACTGTCTTGATCACTGCAATACTGAATTTCCAGCACAGATTAAAAAAAATAAAAAATAAAAATAAAAATAAAATTCTTAG